CTCCGCCCCTGACTCCGCCCACTTTTCTCCGGAGTTTTTTTCCCCGGAAATTTTTTCTCCGGAATTTGCAGGGTCTCTTTCTTCTTTTTTTTTGGATTCTATTGACTTTTAAATAACCCACTTTCTAGGTTATTATATTCCAAAAAAATAATTTTCTTGAAAAAATAATGGTGTTTTGTTTATTTTTCTTATTTTCAGAGTAGAATTTCAGAATAGGCTCTGTTACGACAAGAGTCGTATGAATAAATATAATTGCATGGCCCAATGACCTAGTTTCTATGTGACCCCCTTTCTGCCACGGGCACTCTCTGTCTCTTGTCCGTTTTTTCCGGTAACCGGCAATTCCATTTTTACCCCTTGTTACCGTCTTTTTTTTTGAAAATCAAATCTCGGTTTTACAGATGGTTGCACCTGCACCTCTTCGAGACCAATCCAAGCGTCGGGTTTGTTACTACTACGATACAAATGTTGGAAACTACTACTACGGTCCTGGCCACGTTATGAAGCCCCACCGTATCAGGATGGCTAATGAGCTCATTCTCAGCTACGGGCTCTATCAGAATTTATCCATTTATGTAAGAAGATTCTAGAAATACTAAAATAGACTGAATTTATATTTCAGCGACCACGTCCAGCATCATTCGAAGCGATGACAACATTTCACAGCGATGAGTACATCACATTCCTGAGAGATGCTAACATAGACAATTTGAATTCATTTGGAGCGTCGAAAGGGAAATGTAGGTTTAAAAAATTATGAAATTCCAATATAATTTTTAAAACATTAAAAATTTTCCAGTTTCCCAAAACAACGATGACTGCCCACTGTTCGATGGTCTCTACGAATTCTGCCAACTCAGTTGTGGAGGTTCTTTAGCAGCCGCAATCAAATTGAATAAGAAAAAAACCGACATCGCAATTAATTGGATGGGCGGTCTACATCATGCGAAAAAAAGTGAATCATCCGGATTCTGCTACACCAACGATATTGTCGTTGGGATTCTGGAGTTACTGAAATTCCACAAACGAGTCCTTTACGTAGATATCGATATCCATCATGGAGATGGTGTTGAGGAGGCATTTTTCGATACAAACCGAGTGATGACCGTATCCTTCCACAGATTTGGAAATTTCTTCCCAGGAACCGGAGATATCAAAGATGTCGGTATCTATAATGGAAGGTTGTACTCGGTGAATGTACCACTTTCCGATGGAATCACCGATGAATCCTATGAAAGAATCTTCGTACCAGTTATGAAGAAAGTGATGGAGATGTTCGATCCACAAGCAGTGGTTCTACAGTGTGGAGCTGATTCTTTGTATGGAGATCGTCTTGGAAAATTCAATCTCAGTCTCAGAGGACATGGAGCATGTGCGGAATTCTTCCGCAAGTACGACGTCCCTCTTATGATGGTTGGCGGCGGAGGATACACACCAAGAAACGTGGCAAGATGCTGGGCATATGAAACATCGATTGCAGTTGGTATTGAGGTTCCAAATGAACTACCATTCAATAATTATTATGAATACTTTGGACCGGACTACAAACTACACATTGAGCCATCACAGGTTCTGAAGAATGACAATCCTGATCAGAAACTTTTAGAATTGCAAAAAGAAATTTTCGAGAATTTAAGTCAGCTTGATAAAGTTCCCAGTGTACAAATGCAGCGTAAGTTATAGATTATATGATAGAAGCTGTATGTATTTTTCCTTTCTTCAGCTATGGAAGACGATACACTCCCTGTGTTAGAATTCGAAGACATCGCTCGGGACGAAGAGAATCCGGATGTCCGTCTGCCCATGTCAATTATGGATTCATGCCAACACAACGACGCAGATTTTTACGATGACGAGAATGGAGGTGACGATCATCGAAATGAGGCGAATGGACTACGGCAAGCAGAAGCTGAGAATAATCTGTGATCCTTTCTTTTTTTTTCACTTGCGCCCTTTCTTATCAAAATCATGTCTGATATTGTTTGATCTCTGTTTAACTGTATTTTTTTTGAAAATTGATTATTTATTGTGAGTCTTAAAGTGAGCCGGTTTCTCATTAAAATTTCACATTTACTCTATAAAATAGAGCTCTATTTATATCTTGTCGAATATTTTTGTGTTCACTTTCCTAGAATTATGTCTTTGTCTTTTTATAATTCTTGTCCGGCAGCGATAAAGCTGAAAGTTCGTTCATATTCCTTTAAAAAATTTCCTTTTCCATTTTTTTAAAATTCAAATTCGCTAAAAATCGCGTCGTCGGTATCGAAGCGAAAAAGAGTTTTTTTTCCTGAGAAAATGCATGCGCCTACAAGATACGGTACAAGGCGCATGCATTTTTTTCAAAAATTCTTGCGGTTTCCGCTGCAGGACCGACTCCGAAAGGTTCATCGACGCCGGACAAATATAATACAGTGCGCCGGTTTCTCAGAGCATTAAAATTCCAAAATTATCGAATATTTTTTAAGAATTACTTCTCTAAAACTGTTCTTGTCTTTTTAATTTTTCAGACCCAAAATTCGTTCTTTTCTTCTCAAAAATGTATTTCGATCTGCTTCAGTGCGCGGGCGGGAATAAAACCGTTTTTTTCATCTCGTTTCAAAAAAAAATTCGTCATTCGTGTCTCCTTCTATTCTCACTTCTTCTTCTTCTTGTTTATCCTCATCAATTTTCACACACTAATCATGAACCTCATTCATGCCAACAATCGCTGGGAGCAATTGCGTGCTGTAAGTTCGTTTTTTTTTCTGTAAATCCGAACTTCAAAATTAAATTTTTTCAGGTCGAAGCCGATCTTCTGAGTCCACCACCTGCAGACCCATTCCAATGTTATCCAGAAGGATGGTCGAGAGCCGCCGATTTGAAAGAGAACGAATGGGAAAGAATGTTAGGGTTTCTCTTTTCCAACATTTCAAATTGAAATCTTCAATCTAAAAATAATAATTCCAGTTTACTACGAGAGAAGTCTGTCAGTCCAGCGCCACGTGCTCATTCTCCTGGATCATTCAGAAGAGCAATCCGGCGGATGGGCCAGGCTCGACAAAATCGTCCCGATCCAGTGCAACTTCCGGAGCGACGAGCTCGGCAGCCAGTCAATCGACAAGAAGCACCTGCTCCGGTTGAAAATGCTCCAGAATTACGTCGTCGAGCGATCTCCCCAACCCAATTGCCAGGCGTCCGTGCCATACCAAAGGACTACAACCGCTTCTTCCGTGGACTCCTAACCCCTGGAGAGTACTTTGCCAAGTCGCAAACCCGGTACCTGGGACCATTCGAAGCGATGCCCACTGTAGAAACCCTTCCATCAGATGACGAGTACGTGATTCTCCAGCGAATGGGTCGGCTACCGGACAGTGGAAAATCAATCTTCCGACAAGTTGGCTCTCTGTCGACACGAATTACTAATTAACTTTATATACCAAATAGATCAATATTTCTATTTTTGATAATGAGCTAATATATTTTTTGTCACCCCCAACCAATAGACACCCAATCACCATATAATAACCCGTATATATTAATGATTATAGTTTTTTGTTCATACGGTTCATTGTTTTAACCGATTTATGTGTGTGTTTTCTGCTTTATATTGAACCATCGGGTATTTATATAAAACAGTTGACTCTTTCCTTTCTTCTGAACATTTCAAAGATAATTTCTGCTTGTGTTTTGAGTCGCTTCTCTGCTCTCCGCCTTCTTCGTTCGCCAACATGTGTCGGGGTGATTCGAAACAGCCGTCTTCTCTTTTTTTTCTCATTTTTTGAGATTGTGTGTTAGGTGCTTGCTTTCTCTTCTGAACTTTGCCATCGCATGCATTTCGAAAGGGGTAAAAAGAGATGGAGTAGGAAGAGGAGCATGAAGTGGAGAGCCCCAATTTCCAATGTGACACTTTGGTTTTTCTCACATTTCACTTCATTTTTCCAACGCTTCTTGCATCATTGACCCGGATCTTATCAGAGTTTGACCTATTATCCGTTTTTGTGCTATTCCGGAGCCTTTTTTACGGAATATCAAAAATGCTCTTTGTTTATCCCCCGAATAATTGACTTCGAGCCGTAAAACCTGTAATAGAAAGTCTCTGACATTGTCACGTTTGAGCTCTATTATCTCAATTCAAATGCAAGATATCAAGAAAGTGTCAACTAATAAATTGTTTCTCATATTCAAATGAACATTTTATCAGTTGGCAACCTTTTCATATCTTTCACAGAAACAGAGATAAATTGGGTCGAAGTTGAAAGTCAATGCTGTTACAGTTTTTCAACGGTATTATATATTCTGGTGCAAAAGCATCGGCGCTGTGGAAGAGAAAATCTGGTGGATGTTACCGAAGGTCTCACAGCGACAACTACCGTAATATGAAAATATTTTGACTTTCCGAGTTTATTTTTTTCCATTTTAGTGCGTTTTCAGTCAATGTTTTCATTATCAATTTCTGAAATTCAGAAAATCTGAAATTTTGAAATTCCGAAGTTTTGAAATTTTGACGTTCTGAAATTCTGTGATTCTGAAATTGTGGGATTTCCGAGCCTATGAAATCCTGAAATACTGAGATTCTAAGATTTCGAAATTCTGCGATCTCGAGATACTGGTATTCTGAGATTTTGAGTTTCTGAAATTCTTAAATTTTGGAATTCTGAACGGTTGAATTTTTTGATTTTTGAAATTTCGATATTCCGAAATTCTGAAGTTCTGATAAGTCGAAGTTCTGAGGTCCTGAAGATTTCAAATTCTGAAATTTCGATATTCGGAATTTATGGAATTCTGGGTTCTGAAATTCAGAAATTCTGAAATTATGAATTTCTAATTTTTGTCGATTTTTTGCGACCCTATAAGTAGAAAAGTCGCAAATCAAATTTTTTGATATAGTGAACAATTGACTGAAATGCACAAAATCGGGATAAAAATTCGGAAAACAGAACTTTATTTAGGTTACTGTAGTCGTCGTTGTGGGACCTTCGGCCGCTCTTCCGCATCTAAAGTGTTTTGTACCAGAACAATGCCTCCAACTTCTCTATTTTCTTCAAATTTATATTTCCAGAGAGTCTGCTCGTCCTTCTTCTTCTTCTAATTGTTCTCCTCCCTTCACCTTCATATCTCCTCCTCCCAACTTTTTTACCCCCATCAAAAACAAGATGAATGACGACAAACTGCGAAGTCTGTTCGCTTCTCTAGCCACTCTCACACAACAGGGACCGATTCCCGGTGAGCACAGAGAACACCACAAATCTCAAAACACAAAAAGGATAAGATTTCAGTTCAAGCCTACAGTATGCTCGCCAGCCAACACTCGACAGAAGTTCTCGCCGAACACATGAGACTACGGTGGCTGTCAGATGGACGGTTCGCTCCGTTGGCAGCGAATATTTTGATGCATATTCATCAAGCAGACACAAAAGACATTTCGTTGTCTTCAAATGTTCTCGCTCTTTTACTCAACGACTACCGTAATCGGCTTTCAGTTCGAAATGATTCCAGATTGATGTTCCGGAATAGTGTGAAAACTCTTTTTGCGTAAGAGGCATTTCAAAAAGTGTTGTTTGAAAAACGAAACTTCAGAATGTATCCGGTCTATGTAAAAATGGATGAATGCGTCTCAAAATGCTTCATCAAACCCATGTTCTCGTCTCTCGATGCTCTCATTGATGATAGTCCAGACACTGATGACTTGGAAGTATGATTTTCTTTTGGAATTTTTTAAAAATTCAAATTTTAGAATATAAATCCATTTTTCCCATTACAAAACCTTAAAAAATTGGTGAAAAATCGACAAAAATATTATGCAAAAAGTTTCTGCGTCTCCACCGTTTGTGTGCTGTTTAGGCTCTCCGCTTCGATATCGCTACCGTATTCAGACTGCAAAAAATACTCTCTAACCTTTTTTTTCTCAGACAAGCGTAATAAACAAAAATAAATTCCACTCGAGACCCGTAAGCTAACTTTTTGAGTGCGCCTCTGACCTACTGTATTCCAAAATTTCCGAAAAAAAGCTTCGGAAATTCGGAAATTTCGATACTTTCAGGCAGCTGGAATTCTTCTCAGCGAAAATGGAAAAGTGCTTCACGATTTGAACTCATATCTCGTCGAAAGAATCATTGTGAAATTGCGTCATAAGCTGGTCAGTGAAGATCCGGTTGTCACAAAGCATGTCCGTCAAATTTTCATCCACGTAAGATCGCTGAGAATCTCGTTCGAAAGTAGACTTCTTTGATTTCAGGTGTATGATCTTTGGGCTTTCGGATGGAGCGAAATCAATATCCCCGAGTGTCTTTTGACGTTCAGCGCCGAAGGAAAACTTTCGATTGTTGATCAGACACCTCTCAGGAAGAACGATATCAGCAAACAAGAGTTCGGAAGTAAAGAAAGCATTGTCTAATAATTTGATAGCCCTTTTCTAGTTCATACGAATTGTGATTCTTAGTCTTTCGGGTCTTGAAATAAACATTTACGAATCCAGATTTTCATTGGGGGTGCGATAGAATTATACAGGCTTAGTGAAGTGAAATTGGTGCGATATCTATTCACAAGAAGTTATGCGTTATACATCTTAATAGGAATGTTTGGCAACGAACAGCGACTCGGCGGCAGCTCCAGCAGCATCCTCTCCGGCGTACTTTCCGAGGGAAGCATCTCCATTGGCTTTGGAACGGTGGAGAAGGGTCTTCTGGGCAGCTGGAATGTTCTCGTCCTTTCCTCCCCAAGCCTTGAGCACGGAAGCTTGAAGGGCACGTCCGTAGGAGAAGGTGAGCTTCCATGGTTTGCCAAGTGGAGCCTGAAAGTATTTCATGAAGTACATGTCTTAAAGAAGACGAAAGCCCTTACAGTGTTAATAGCGTTGAGGTTAGCAGTAGCATCGAGTTCTGATTGCCCTCCGGAAAGGAAGGTGATTCCTGGAACGGCGGCTGGGACTCCACGTCTCAAGGCAGTGACGGTAGCCAATCCGATCTCCTCGTGAGTGGCCTTAGATGTGCTGGATTGTCCTGGAGTGACCATGTTTGGCTTAAGAAGAGTTCCCTCGAGGTAGACGTGATGGTCGGCGAGTGCCTTGTAGACGAAGGCGAGGACCTGCTCGGTAACCTTCTGGGCGCGAGCCAAATCATGCTCTCCGTCGCAGAGAACCTCTGGCTCAACAATTGGGACGAGTCCGTTGGCTTGGCAGATAGAGGCGTATCTGGCGAGAACGTTGGCGTTCTCGAGCATTCCGAGGTGGGATGGGGTGTGGGTTCCAATGTTGAGAACACAACGCCACTTGGCGAATCCACATCCTCCCTTCTTGAATGCGGCAGCACGCTCAGCAAGCTTGTCAAGTCCTTGGGTGGTTCCCTCTCCGATGGTTCCAGCCAATGGGACGACTCCAAGATCGAGCTTGATTCCTGGAACGATGCCTTGCTTGATAAGAACATCGGTGAATTTCTCTCCCTTATCAGTGCTTTGGTGGAAAGTCTCCTCATAGAGAATCACTCCAGAGATGTGTTGGTTGAGGTTAGGGGTGGTGAAGAGAAGTTGACGGTACTTCTGACGGTTCTTCTCGTTGTTCTCGAGATTGATGGCGTCGAGTCGTTTTCCAATGGTGCCTGCAAAATTGAAATCACGTTTCAGTCGTTAAAAGTAATCGTCCCTCCCGCTATCTTTCTATTTTATCTATCGTCGCACTATCATCAACGCATCAACATCTCCAATTTCAACAACACAAACAATCGAAAAGTCGAGAAAAGAAGCGGAGATACAATCAAAAGAACACAAAATGCGATCACTAGACCGCAAGAGAGAATTGATTCTTCGAACTTTTCAAGGTTATATTTTCAAAAAACTGATGTAATTCAATCTCTTTGCTTTCAGTATGGAATGTGACATTTCAGTATTTTCGATGTTTCGCGTACCAACGGCTTCCCGAAACCTAAGCCTACTTACCAGTTGACTCATCAGCGGCGAGGATTCCCTTTCCATCTTGAACGATCTTGAGAGCGATCTGATGGAGCTCGTCCTTTTGAGCCTAAAATGAAGGAATGGGTTAGAAATTCTAACTTGGAAGATCATCATCAATGAATAATTCGCTACGAAAAACTGTAAACAAACCTGAGTGAGAGAGTCCTTGAATGCGCCGCCGACAGTTGCCATCGTGAAAAATACGAATGATGTGAAAGACGAAAAACGGACGGTCGAGACGAGAGTCTGAGAGAGGCGAGAGAAATGATACAGTTTTGGTTAGACAGTGTGGAGCGACGAGAGACGATAGGCGCGCGGCGCCAAGCTATTTTGGCGGGCGCCCGCGCAAAAATAAACTAATTTTTCAGACCTGAAACTCGAGATGGACATTGAAATGTTTATGAAAATAATTCTTGAATTTCTTTTATACTTAGAAAATATACAATTGCTTCGAATAAAGAAGGAAGATGTTGATCAAAGAGCTAAATAAAAGCAGTCGTTTCGCTGAAAAAAAACTTTTCGAAGTATTTATTACGGTAGAAATTTAAAGGAACATTCTTCGAAAAGGAAAAGTTTTTCGGCGCGCTATCACTCAAATGGCCTTAAAAACAAAAGATCACTGATTACAAATCGTGTGGCGTGAGATGTGGACTGACATAGAAACTTCGAGAAGGCTCAAGAAGACCAAAAACTTTCATCTTTAGGAGAACGAATCAAATGAGATGGATAGTCACGGGGGTTCGAGTCGTAGGAATAGGTCAATCTAGAGAACTTTCGTTGACATCTACTAAAGACGCACATAATAATGCTTTGGAGAATGAATCCAATAAAAATACAGAAACAAAAAATGGGAATCGCAAAATAAAGAGGGAGGCAGGACGACGTTGATCTTGAGAGTAGTTGATGTTCTATTGAAATAGTAGAATTCGGAAGCATTCGATATCGATAAGCTACACCGGGATGCATACGCCATTCTGACCAGATGACTGAAAAATTAATTCTCTATGCTACTATATATAAAATAGAAAGTCCACAGAACATTTTCAAAACTCACCATGTTTCATCGATTCTCTTGTTTCTCTTCTAACTCCTACGTCTACATTTGCCACGTTGGAAGAGGAACACCAGGCTGAATATCTAATCTGTTCGTGACCCGAATCTAACCAATCTGTCCATTGGGACCATTTTTTGCTATCTGGACACTCTCCAGGCAAGCAATTCTCGTATTGTTTGTCACATCCCTCACAAGAATTTCCTTTACAGTGACGAGTTCTAAAATATTTCGTGCGAAATGTCTTCTACAGTAATCCCCTACCGTAACCGAAGACTCCTATCACAGTCGCATCGCGACCACGGATTCCATGATGTCCACTCTCCGAAAAGGAATTCTGGGATTTTCGGAGAAACCACACATGGTTGTTTTTCAACTCTGATACCAGAACAAGTGGTTCCAATTGGCAATGGATTATTACAGATTCTTCTTCTTTTCCTAGTTCCTTCTCTGCATTTGGACCATTTTGACCAGGTGGACCAGCCGCCAGGACGAATGCAGTTCCAGATCTAATAGTTGTGAAGTTATCTGGATTTTTTAAGACACACACTAACCTTAGTTTCTCCATTTTCTAAATTCGTGGAGCATTCACAGAATATCCCATCATCTGATGCACATTTTCCTATCGCATAACTAGTAGGAATAAGAAGAAATACCAGAAAGTAAACTCTCATTTTGTTGAAATGCTATTTTTTCAGTTTGCAACTAACACTATTCTCCTTCTTTTCTCCTTTTCCATCTTTCAGATGTCGCCAGATGGCAGGATTACGGTAGATTTTTGATGAGCCAGAAAATGCGCGCCAACGACACGTGCTAGAGAGTAGAGACGGCAGAGAAAATTGGTTTTTTTTCGGGCGCTATCACTTTTTCAAAGTTATTTGATTCTTTTCTGCTGAAATTCCAATTTAGAAACATCTAAAAATTTCAGGAAAAAAAAGAAAATGGCTGAAAACAAAGTAAACATTACGGATAATCTAGAAACACTCAAAGAAGGCGAAGTGGTGACAGATGAAAAGACTGGAAAGAAGTACCGTGTCAAGAAGAACATTATGCCACACTATTCGGCTGGTGGACCACATGGTTTAGGTATTTAAAAACTTTTAATGCTCCATATCCATTTTTGTCACATTCCAGGTGATCCAGAAGATCGAACACTTCGTAAAATCGAGGCAGATGTTATTATTCCGAATCGAATGAACACACAAATCGAGCGTGTTGAATGCAATGAATCCTATATGGGTGAGAAGTTTATTTCTGATTCACCAAAAATCTAAATTTTCATAGTTCAGGTTTGATCACCTGTTTCCGAACCGATGGTGCTGTTTCCGGACTGAACACGTGTAAACCGGCTCTTGAACTTTTCAATCGATGTAAATATGACAAGTGGGTTGAAGACTTGGAGCTTTCGAATTTTCTCACAATAATTTGTTTTCCAGATTCCACGATCCCGCATTCCGAACCAAGATTACCGACGAATACATTGCTGAACGGTCAGCTGCGCGAGCCAGTGGAATGACTTCCCAGCAAAGAAAGTTAGAAGAATATCGAGATTGGAAGAAGAATACCGAGTCTAAATAAATTCTAGTTTATGATTATTAGGCTGTTTCGTTTGTTGTTATTTAGATCTGCAATAAATGTTAAATTTTTTTTCGCTTCGCTGTCTTGATTTTGGTTCATGAACTATATTATATTTCTCTTCACATCTTTTTCATTAATATCCTATCGGTTCTTGTGAGACCCTAGACCTCCTTCACATTTCTTCCTTGAAAACTCTTCCCATGTTTCCGCGGGGATGACCCAGCTGTCAATGCTGCGTCTCTTGCACCACCACACTGTCTCGAGAAATCAATAACGTGGCGCGCGCTATACGAAACACTGCAGTCGCAGTTCTTTCATCGATCTTAACATACTTTTTGCTGATATTCTGAAAATTTCGAATCTCTATTCAGCTATTTCCTCTTCTGCGTTCATTCGCTTTCAGATATGGGGTGAGTTAGCATGCGCCTAGTTTGTAACTTTTTTGATTTTCGAAATTTCTAGAACGTAATCGCGTAAACCGTTATTTGTGTATTCGTGTCAACTGTTAACGCTTGAAGATGAATTTTCTTGGTTTCAGAGACAAAGTGATGTCGATTCCGATTCCAACACCAACACCTGCAGCTTCTGAAGCTTGGATTAAAGCCCAAGCAGCATTAGAGAAGGTTCGTATTAGCTTATTGCATCTTTGATTTCCAACGTTCTCTTCTTTCAGGTTCAAAGTGGAATGCCGAAGAAATCAAATGGAATGAATGGTAACAACAATACAGGTCAGAATTCTTGGATGAACAACTCTTTTCCGTACCCAAGTGGCAATCCGGTCATAGCCGCTTACGGTCAATTCGCCGGTGGGTGGCATCCATCCACATGGAACACCCAATACGCATCGCCACCACCTCCCCCACCCCAAGCAGCTGCTGCTGCTCAAGCTGTTTATAATCAAACTTCCTATAATTATCAACAAGCGTCACAACAACATCAGACATGGAATAACGGGTATGGAAAGGGTCGTGGAGGAGCTAATAACTGGAACCAACAGCAGAAGCAACCATTCCAGCCCTTTGCCTTGAACAGAAAAAATAATTCGTCGGCGATTCCGCATATTAGTAACACGTTCGTACCACAGGGCGGCGGCGGAGCAGGCCTGCAGCCGTTGATGGGAGGAGCTGGAAAAGGGAGAGGAGCTCCAATGCAACAGGCAGCAGGACCGAAGCAAACACCACCAGCTGCCCAGTAAGTTTTTAAAAGCTAGAATTCTGATACATCTCCAAAGTTACAGACGGTACATGGAACGTGCGTTCGAAGCAGCAAACACTGAACAGGACCGTAAAAAGACTGAAGAGTATCTTCAAAAAAGAATGTATCCTCTGTTGAACGCCGGTAACGCTCATATGATCAACTGGGACGCCGAGCCGTTGCCGCACGAGAAAAATTTTGAGCTGCCCACTGCGTGGACGCCGGCTAATAAGTTGCCTCATCAGGCAAACGGATTTAATAGAAAGAAGTCGCCACAGAGAAGGCGTAGTGATGAAATGTCTAACGGATCTAGTGGTGGAGGACAAACGAAAAGGGCTCGTCGTGATAGTGATGGGGCGTCGTCTGATTCTGACCATAACGATCCACTTGAGAAAATGCACTTTTCCACTTCTTCTAATCAGGTTTCTAAAATAGGCGGGCTAAAATTGGGTGAAAAACTTGGGCACGGAAACGAAAATTGTGTTGATTCTACTAGTATTTTCAATACTAGAAGTGAGAAGACGGGGATTATAAACTTGAATTATGTTCAGAAAAAGAGCAAGGCTCAGATCAAGGCTGAGAAGAAAGCCGCTAAGAAAGCAGGTAAAGCGCAACAACAGAAGCAGAAGCAAACGCCGCAAAAGTGGAAAGTCGATGATACAGAAGCCAAGAGAGTAAGTTCTAACATTAGTGCTTGTTAACAATAATTGTTTCAGGAAGACAGAGCTCGTCGTTTTGCTGAATCCCTATCCAACGCAGCGAAACCATCAGTCAGCGCACAACCGTATTATTTCAGAAGAGGACAAGTTGTTAAAGGAACATGTCAGAATATCGAGAAATCATTCTTCAGACTGACAGCTGTAAGTGTCATCATTATCACAACACATTACTCAATAATGGTATTATTTTCAGGCTCCAAATCCCTCCGAAGTTCGTCCACTCAACATCCTACACCTTTCTCTCGAAAACGTCCGTAATAAGTATCGCGCGAACGCGGAATACTCGTACCTGACCAGTCAACTGAGATCGATTCGTCAAGATTTGACTGTTCAGCGTATTCGTAACGAGTTCACAGTTGAGGTGTATGAGATCAATGCGCGTATATCACTGGAAAACGCGGACCGAGAAGAGTTCAATAAGTGCCAGTCACAGTTGAAACTTCTCTACGCTGACATTGAGAACTGCAAGAATCACGCCGAGTTCGTCGCCTACCGACTTTTGTACTATGTCGCCATGGACAATCAGATTGATATCAACTCACTTCTTCGTGAGCTGACTCCAGAGTTACAAGAAGACGCGTGTGTTGAGTTCGCTCTGAGTGTACGGAAGGCAGTGACGATGAACAATTATATTAAGTTTTTCAGATTATTCAAGGTGAGAACTAATTCTTCAAAATCCTATCTAATTTGATTTATTATTCCAGAATGCCCCAAGAATGTGTCCCTTCATAATGGATTTGTTTGTTGACAGAGAGAGAAAAAAGGCCATCAATGTAATCGTTAAATCTTTCAAACCTACAATCACTTATAAGCAAATCGCTGAGTTCCTTAGCATGAAAGAAGAACGCCTAGTTGATTGGCTCATTGAGGAACTAAAATGGACTGACGTTGAAGTCGGCGGAACGTTCGACCCTAAAACATCGCGAAACTTGTAATATTTCATCAAAAATCAAAAAGAAGAAAGAAGAGCCTTCCACCCCGTCTCCTTAAGATCTTGTGTTTTTTCTGTAGATTTGCCGTTTATGTTTCATCGGTAAGTTTTTCTATATCCGTTGACGACGCCTTGTTATTGATTTATGTTCGGATCAGAATAGATTATAAAATAAAGTTTATCTTGTAACCGTATTTTGTTGAGATTCAAACATGTCATGAAAAATGTAAAGTATTAAAATATGAGTTCAATGAAGACACTTGTTTTCGTATCCCGGGCAGAAAGTGAACAGCGCATTCTGAAGACGTTGTGGACGATCAGCCCAGAAGTTGGTGCAGTACTCGTCGTAGGTCTGGCGGTGAGCGATGCAGAAGGGATTCTCTGTGGATTTCTCGACGCGTCGCTTGTGAATCGGAAGCGCCACGTCATCACGAAGACCTACTCCGATGAATTCAGAAGAGAGGTCATCTGAAAGTTGGGCGAGTTATGAAAAAGAAAAAAGGGAAATACCTCGAATTCCGATGAGAGGAAGTGAGAGAACGAGTTGGATGAGTGAAGAGGAAGCTGAAAAGAAATATTATCAAAAGTGATGGATTGGAATGTTTATTACCGATGATAAGAGTGATAAGGAACAAGTTGATAGACATTCTGATAAACAGAAGAAATTGAAACTTTCTGGACGCCGATCTTGTTTTTATAGTGTCGATGGTAATTGAAGATCCGCCTTTTTTTGATACGGTCAAGTGTAGAAAAACAAAAAATTTTCGGTGTACTTTTCGCGAGAAAAATGTATGGAAGAGGTGATGATGTCAAAAGGGAAAAGATTGAAATGGGAGAATTTGGGTACATTTTGTACGGGAAACATGTGAATTTCGGAAGAAAACTTGAAGAATTAATGAATTAGTCATGAAGATAGTGCAAGGTATCTTTGGGATAGTTAAGAATTTCCGAAAACTGACAATTTAGAATTGAAGAATGCAATCCTACAAAACTTCAACCGCCAACTTTGAGCCCATACATCTCAGTTCATGTGAACGGTATCAAAAAGGGATCCACTAACAAAATGTTTATCATATTATCAGCAATATTTTTTCAGTTGACAGCTTTTTGATACATTTCATAGGAAACAAGATATATACGATCAAAATAAAGAGTTCGATAACCGACAGCGTAGCTGCAAGTGCCGCCTTTTCAACTTTAAGCCAATTTATCTTAGTTCCTGTTGAAGATATAAAAAATAGGTAAACTAAAAAATGTTTTACCATAACATCAAAAATATTTTATCAGTTGACAAATGTTTGATATCTTTAACAGGAAGCGAGATAACTGAGCTGGAACTACGGATGTCCTTCTGAAATTTTTTCAACATTATACATTTTCAATGAGCTGTGGAAGAGACACTGGTGGTCGTGAGAGATGTCCGGATTCCGAGTTCCGAAGAAAAAAAAATTCCATACCAGCCTGTTTGCCGCTCCTCCGGCGCTTCAAACAGCTGGCTGGTGGGCTTTCTGCGCGACCTATTAACGTTACTGTTCGTCGTAAATCTTTCTCTCAAAAGGCCACGACATTTATACTTTTTATACGCGTTACGCAATAAATCAATAAATCAACCAATATTAGGTCACGCCCCCTCCCTCTGTCCACATTTAAAAATTCCACGTATTGAAAAAAAAAACAGTCCTTTGGGAAATCCCGCTCTTTGAATTAGTTTGATAAATTTCACTAGCACTTTTTGACTGCTCTGAAGCTTCCTGCGTAAGCTGTTTATTGTTTCATTTACTTTTTTTTTCGATTGGTCGGATGCGAAAAAAGTTATAAAAGGCCCTCAGGGTCGCCATGTTTGGTGGTTCATGGCTAGGTGAATTCATTTTCACTGAACGTCCCCCTTTTGCAAAAGACTCAAAGAAAGAAAAAAGAAACAAATGAACAAAAACGATAAATAGCGATCGTATAGCTTTTTAGGAGTGAAAAAGAACTATTGAAAATTAACAAACTGTCTCTTCGGAGACTTATGGGGTTTTTTGTTGGTATTTTCCCCCCGGTGAAAAACCATTTTCCCTTTCATGTACTGAGCCTCTACGTGGCGAAAGGGATAAACAGACGAGTCTGGCTAATCAGTACACTTTTGAATCTTGTTATTTTTATATTTTTTATTATTCATTAAAAACGTGTTTCTCAGTGGATTTTGATCATTTTCAGGAGTCTGGAAGATTCCGCAACGACAGCAAAATACCGTAACTTAAAAATGGTTTTAATTTTCGGATTTATTTTTCTTGATTTTTGTGCAAAAAAATAAAACTTTTTGATAGCGAAAAAAATTACTGAAACACACTAAAATCAAGAAAATATATTCGGAAACAAAATTATCTTTGGGTTACGGTAGTTTTCGTTGTGGAACCTTCAGCTACAGCCAACGGCGCTTCTCTTCCACCGCCCGATTAAAAAAATTGAGATCCTGAAGAAATTGGCGGTTTTGAAGAAGAATCAAACTTCGAAGGGATCCTGAAGAATTTTGAAAACTTTTAATTTTTGATTTTTTGTGTTTTTCTCTGTCATATTCCAAGTTCATATTCCGAATTTCGAAATTGTAAAAATCCAATAATATAATTTTGTATATTTATCTTTTTCATCACTTATCATAAACACCCCACCCATATCTAATCCACCTTTATCTCCTCTCTTTTTTCACTTTTCGATTTCATTTCGTTCGCACTTGTGTCGCCCCGATTTTTTCACATCGAAAACCGTTTGGCGCCGGATGAAAGTTGCGTAATCAGCAGATAAAAAAGCGAGTTTTCTCTCCTCGTGTTATGGATGAATATCCAGTTTAAATGGATAGCGAAAGGAGTGATTACACACAGAAGAAAAGGAAAAAGAGGATGAAAAAATGGGTGGAGAGAAGGAAAAGCGTTCCTTGTTAGGCGGATTTACTTCCAAGTTGGTGATAATGATAATGATGATGCCATTTATCCCTTTTATCCATTCATCTTTTGACTGTTCTAGATGATTCTGTGAGTGGAGCGATATTTCAGAATCCTGGTTCTGAGATTCTGAAATTTCGGAGTTTAAGAATCCATAATAATCCGTGAGGACAAATGAATATTTGAATTTTTGAAGTTCTGAGATTTCGAATTTTTTAGAATTTAAATTTTTAAAATTAAAAATTTTTGGTATTGAATTTTTGTATTTTTGCATTATAGGACTTTAGAATTTTAGAAAGTTTGAATCTTTGAAATCTTAGTATTCTGATTCTAAAATTCTGAGATTCTGAGATTCTGAGATTCTGTGATCCTGAGATTCTGAGATTCTGAGATTCTGAGATTCTGAGATTCTGAGATTCTGAGATTCTGAGATTCTGAGATTCTGAGATTCTGAGATTCTGAGATTCTGAGATTCTGAGATTCTGAGATTCTGAGATTCTGAAAATCTGAGATTCTGAGATTTGAGATCCTGATATCTTGAGATCGTAAGATTCTGAAATTCTGAAATTCTAAAGTTTTAAAATTCCGAAAATTCTGAATTTCTGAAATTCTGGAATTCCGAGATTCTGAGATTCTGAGGTTCCGAGATTCGGAAATTCGAAAATTCTGAGATTCCAAATTTTTAGATCCTGAAATTCTGAAAACCTAAGTAATCTGAAAATCTGAAACTCCGAAAAGTTAATTTTGGAGACCGATAAATGTTTGCCAAAACAAGTCATTTTCGTAGAATTCCAAAACTAAACTTTTTGAAATTTTAAACCTGAAATTCTAAGATTTTGAAATTTCTGAATTAAATAATCCATCATTATCCTTCAGGACTTTTTCAGATCTTTTGAAATCTCTGTATATAAGAATTCTATAAACTCTTCCAAATCTCCAAATAATCTGGGATTTCAGAACCTCAAGACGTCGAAATCAAAATCTCAGAATCTCAGAATCTCATAACCTCGAAATCTCCAAAATTCGGTGAACGGATTCGGATTCTTGAGATGATTCCCGTCTCTGTCTATCTTCCTTTTTCCCTTTCTTTCCGGTTCTTCCCGATCACCTCATAAACCGTTTCTCTCTGCCAACACATTCCAATCTTCTTCTTCTCATACCAATCCAGGAATTGCCCTTTTTTCCTATCATATCATTCCACTTTTTTCTCCGTTTTCTTAACACCTCCGTTCCCTTTCTCTATCTCTTCAGATGATCAACCGGTTTCCATGGTCTTCTTCTGTTTATTTCTGCCATCTTCTCATCATATCAATCGTCATTTTTCACACGTCATCTGATGCCAAAATAGCTCCAAAGTGCCGTGATACAGATATGAACTGTGCTGTTTGGGTAAAAAATGATATCATGGTTAAATTTGGTGATGGTTTGAAGGGTTCAGGTTGCATCGAATTCTTCGGATTGTGAAAATGTGGAACTGGTGAGCTCACACTGTTTGAGAACGTGTCAATCATGTGGGGAGCCAATTGATCCAAGTAAGATCTTCGGGCTCAATTATCTTGGTTCCTATGAGAGTTATCAAAAATGTGTTGGCTGATAAAATGTTTATCATGATATCACCAACACTTTATTAGTTGTGTCTGACAGGAATCAAGATAATTTTTTAAAAAATTAAAAATTAAGCTAAAACTGTACGTGTGGGGTGGGCCATAGAATGACCCCTCTTGTTTTCAACTTTCAGCCAACTTATGTCGGTTCCTGTAAAAGATACCAAAAATTCGTCAACTGATAAAATATAGATTATCTTATGATAAACGTTTTATCAGTGAACAAAATTTTGATATCTCTTATAGGAACCAAGGTAATAGAACTCAAAGTATTATACATTTATTGAATCATGATAACCTCTTAAAATCTGGGATCTTTCTATGACAGCTCCTTTGTTTTTCAGAATACGACGTAAAACTGCTGCCTCCAAAGCTAAAATCTATTGCTTGGATGGTTGGAAGATGGAGATCTGAATTCGGAGGAAAAGCATTTTTCCCAACGATTCCAAAGTTTACTTATGGTGAACAAGTCGATATTACAATTGCTGATAATGCAGAAAACGCTAAAACTCCGTTGCTGAATTATACGTATGGGGTTTTTTGAATTTCTGAATTCTTCCGGAGAAAGACATCTGGAAATTCCTTGAATATTCTAAATTTTAAAATCTGAAGTCATCAGAAATCTTTGAATATCCGTAATTCTGTCGCTGAGATTCTGAGATTTTGAGATTCTGAGTTTTTGAGATTCTGAGATTTTGAGATTCTGAGTTTTTGAGATTCTGAGATTCTGAGGTTCTGAGATTCTGAGATTCTGAGATTCTAAGATTCTGAGATTCTGAGATTCTGAGATTCTGAGATTCTGAGATTCTGAGATTCTGAGATTCTGAGATTCTGTGATTCTGAGATTCTGAGGTTTTGAGATTCTGAGATTCTGAGATTCTGAGATTCTGAGATTCTGAGATTCTCAGATTCTGAGATTCTGAGATTCTGAGATTCTGAGATTCTGAGATTCTGAGATTCTGAGATTCTGAGATTCTGAGATTCTGAGATTCTGAGATTCTGAGATTCTGAGATTCTGAGATTCTGAGATTCTGAGATTCTGAGATTCTGAGATTCTGAGGTTCTGAGATTCTGAGATTCTGAGATTCTGAGATTCTGAGATTCTGAGATTCTGAGATTCTGAGATTCTGAGATTCTGAGATTCTGAGATTCTGAGATTCTGAGATTCTGAGATTCTGAGATTCTGAGATTCTGAGATTCTGAGATTCTGAGATTCTGAGATTCTGAGATTCTGAGATTCTGAGATTCTGAGATTCTGAGATTCTGAGATTCTGAGATTCTGAGATTCTGAGATTCTGAGATTCTGAGATTCTGAGATTCTGAGATTCTGAGATTCTGAGATTCTGAGATTCTGAGATTCTGAGATTCTGAGATTCTGAGATTCTGAGATTCTGAGATTCTGAGATTCTGAGATTCTGAGATTCTGAGATTCTGAGGTTTTGAGATTCTGAGATTCTGAGATTCTGAGATTCTGAGATTCTGAGATTCTCAGATTCTGAGATTCTGAGATTCTGAGATTCTGAGATTCTGAGATTCTGAGGTTCTGAGATTCTGAGATTCTGAGATTCTGAGATTCTGAGATTCTGAGATTCTGAGATTCTGAGATTCTGTGATTCTGAGATTCTGAGGTTCTGAGATTCTGAGATTCTGAGATTCTGAGATTCTGAGATTCTGAGATTCTGAGATTCTGAGATTCTGAGATTCTGTGATTCTGAGATTCTGAGGTTTTGAGATTCTGAGATTCTGAGATTCTGAGATTCTGAGATTCTGAGATTCTGAGATTCTGAGATTCTGAGATTCTGAGATTCTGAGATTCTGAGATTCTGAGGTTCTGAGATTCTGAGATTCTGAGATTCTGAGATTCTGAGATTCTGAGATTCTGAGATTCTGAGATTCTGTGATTCTGAGATTCTGAGGTTCTGAGATTCTGAGATTCTGAGATTCTGAGATTCTGAGATTCTGAGATTCTGAGATTCCGAGATTCTGAGAT